TGCCCTCTTACAGACCCATTTTTCTCATATTACAGGCATCTTAACATGAAAAATGTATATGAATAAATCTGGCTAATTTTAAGGAAGACCTCAATTACGGAAGGATTCATTGCTTAAATTCGAACTAAAAGCAGTCACATGCTCAGAGCCAATATTCTTTTCATTAAAAAACAAGTGTGCAGCTGCTTACTTTACTTTCAGCTTCAACTGGAGCTTCGCTTATGCTCAGCAGATTCTTACCAGCCTCTTCAGCGGACCTCTCTGAGCCCATTTCTGCAGTTCATGAATCACCACTCACCAAGCACAATGGAGCGCACAGAAGAGACTTCACAGTGTGGAGCCTCTCCATGTGCTACAGCTATTTCCCCTCCTACCTCTCTGTCTTTTAAAATTTATTACCTTTTCTTACTTTGCTGCTCAGAGGAACACAGGCTCTTTCCAGCAAGCCAAGTTCTATGCGATCACTCTGAATTTGGATGCAGCGCTCAGCAGTTAGGTCACTGTAATACGGTCTCCAGGATTCGTCGGGAGGTCTGGGTTGAGTCAGAGCACTTCTGCATGTCTTTCTTTCTTTCTCGACTTTGGCTTTTCCCTTGGTCCTATATACCTTCTTTGGGGTTCTTATTAAATGGCTTGAGCTGCCATAAACAGTGGAAATCACAGGATAGCAATGAAGTACACAAGCTTCCCTGTGTGTCTAAAGCATGGTGCAGTGCAAAAATGTTTCCAAATTAAGTTCACATGAACTTAATTTCTGGCTCCCAGCCCTAGCTATATATTAGAATCATCAATTATATGTGACCCTCTGAAGATAGGTTCTGAGCATCTCTGTTTCGTACCTTCCTAGGTGCTTGCTAATGAGGAGTCAGGGCTGAGAACCACTGATGAGCTATCAGAACACGGGCTACTCTATTTGTGGGGGGGTGGGGACAAGCCTGCAGTCACATCTCTGTGCCCGAACAAGCCAGCCAGCTACTACTAGATCTCATTCTTACTGCCTTATGAGTCTCTCATTTAAATTCTGTTTGCAAGCAAGTTTTATATATGTCACCTGAAAAGCTGAGATCAAATTGAGCTGATTTCTTAGAAAATAAGGGAAGAATATAGTCAAACAGGGAACAACACCATTATATCAGTTAGGTAATGAAAGCATCGTCATTGTGGACGTGGAGTGAGAAAAGAGTACAGACGCTCACCGGGCCCAGCAGGGATATGAGGCAACCCATAGTGCAGATGAATGCACTGTAGGGTGAAGTGCCTAATGGTGGGATTTTACTACATTTTGCATAGAAAGCATCGTCATTGTGGACGTGGAGTGAGAAAAGGGTACAGACTCTCACCGGGCCCAGCAAGGATATGATGCAACCCACAGTGCAGATGAATGCACTGTAGGGTGAAGTGCCTAATGGTGGGATTTTACTACATTTTGCATTTGAAATACACCCTTGATATCTTTTATGCCTAAATTTAGAAAACTGAAGGGATTCATTACAATCCAATTAAATTAAAATGTAAAAAAATTACAGACACGATAAGACATAACTCTTCAAGGTGTGTCTTGCAATTATAAGACTATTTCAGAATACTGCAGTTAAAATGGCTGAAATTAATTTGATCTTACATCTATTCATTCTAATCACCATTCACAATATTAAAACAGCATCAGGAAATAGAAGATACTGTCTTAATGAACTATAGTGATTTTTAAATGTGACCATTATAAACAAAAGGAATCCCAAACTAGCCTCACAAAAATTTGTTCCTGATTTTTATTTAAAAATTAAAAAGAAATTGAAATTCAATTGCCTTAGCTGTAATGAAAGAAAATGGACATGATAGTACAGCATACAAATAAGGAGCTTTTCATGTATAAGTGTTATTTTATAAGCTTCTTTAATATTCCTCATAACTTTTAGCATAGTGTTGGTAATTAAAAGACATTTGATAAAACAATTTTCCACTTGACACAAGCATACTACTATGATAAAGCATGCATAAAGTAATGCAGCAGGTAAACTCTAGTTTAATATCTATGTACCTCAGGTTCATTACCAGGAGGTATGCCTAGAAATATGTGGAAAAAATTTTTAAATTAGAACAATTCAGTTACACTTTATTAAGCAGCCATTACTCACAAACACTGAACTAGGCATATTGAGGAAGAGTGCCTTCTCTTCTCAATACTGATTTTTTTTTTTTCTTTTTTCAGTGGCTGGCCAGTATGGGGATCCAAATGGTATTGACCTTGGTGTTATAAGGCTGTACTCTAACCATTAATACTCTGACTGACATATAATAAACACTCAAAAAGTATTGATGAATTAAAAAATAAATGTAAGACATGATTTCTGTCTTTTAGAAACTAACATTTTAGGGGGGAAAGACTAAAATGCATAGATATCTTTAAAACAGGACAAAATATAGGAAGTTCTTTAATAGAAGTGCAAACTAGGATAGAAGTAATGAATATCATTACTGCAGCTGTATGAAAGGATTGTCTTGGCTGGAAGGGATCCTGGAAATGCTTTTTGAGCCAGGAGATATTTGGACTAGGTGTTGAAAGTAGAGGAGACCTTTGCACAGTAGATGCTGTGAGGTGGAGGACATTTCGGGGGAGGAAAACCACTTGAATACAAAATAAAGACGATTGATTTTAGGAAATCGAGTGCTTTGGTGGAATGGTGTACGGAGATATGACTAACAGAGGGGACAAATCGTGGAGGCCATTCAGTGAGAAGCTAAAAGTATTTTTTACGTAGTGGGGAGCTCTCAAGGCTCTTTACAAGGGTGTGGCTTAGATCTACTTTAGAAGAATTATTTCAAAGTGAATGTTCAGAACAACCTGGAGAAGGTGGAGGCTGGAAGTAGAGAATCTGGGAGGTTGCTTAGCACTACACATAAGAGATCAGAAGAACCTGAGCCAAGACACTAGGAACAGACTAAATGAGCTCAATTTGGAAGACATCTTAGATATCAAAACAGCAGATTTGGGAGACTGGTTACAGGCGAGGGATGAGAGAAAGAGAAAATTTCACATCAGAGCAACTAGGGCTATGTATATTTTGTAAAAGAAAATATCTCCAGAGTATGTTATATTAGCAAAATGAGGCTGTGGGGTCTTGATGCAAATGTGGAAGAGAAATATTTTCCAAATAATTATATCGCTTAACATACTTGGGAAAAATGACAAAATAAAGAAGTAAGTGTGAAAGAGTTGAAGGAAGAAGGCAAGTCGAAAGCCAAATACCGCAGACAGCTACAAAAGTGGTCAAATCTAAGGAAAAAAAGTGGCCATAGAAGTGAACATCATTGACATCTCACAGACATGAGCCAGGGAGCACAGGAAAGCAGTGAGCAGAAGTCAGAACGAGTGCATGTGAGAAAGCGTAGACTGAGTCATCCGCAGATGGAATTAGATGGAAAATCCAAGGAGTGAAGCAAAGCAAGAAAGATGGTCGTCCCGGATCGACCTAAACAAGTAACTGTGATTCCAGAAGATGGGGGGGACAGACAGTGAACGTGAGGATGACTTGGCACCTTGTTACTCTGTTATTAAAATAAAAGTGTATCAACAGACACTTTGTAAAGAATAGATAAATATGAGGTACTATTATTATCTCTTTCCAAGAGATGGAACAAGAACTGGCTTCTTTCCTAATAGAGTCACGATCTACCCGACGTAGCACGCTGCATCAGCCTGGGGTCAGTGATCTGCTGATCACACCGGCCTGTAGCCAGCCTTCCCAGCAGGCTGCGATGCCGAGCTGTGGGCATTAGAGGGCAGACGTGAGCTGAGGAAATCTACCTGCCCTCACCTGGAGCACGAGGCCCCGCAGGGCCCACCAATTCTAGACTGAATCTAACTCATGTGGAGCTGCATTAAAACAGCAACAGTGACAGCACACAACCACCTAAGAGTCTAGTGGGTTTTTAATAGTTTAGGAA